CGCAGTTACCATGGTGATGAAAAAGTAACTTTGCAACCAATCCTTGCATTTAGGATCTTCACAGGTCTGTAAAGCAAAGGGAAGCTGAAGTAAGATCATAAGCAGTCACAGTTAGCAACCGCTTCATTTAATGACCAAGTTGCCAGTCCCAACTGTGGTTACTAAATGAGGACTACCTGTAAAACTAAGGCACAGTTTCACCAAAATCCCTTAAAATAATATGCACTCTTTGGATATCAATTTTCTTATATTCCCAAACAGTGTCAGGCAGCTGAATGTCCTATTCCTAACCTTGTCCCAGAACACAGGGTTTAGGTATGTTTGTTTCTTAGATATATAGCCCGCCTTTCTTCCAAGAACACAAGCTCCTTTACATTGACATCTCTCCTCATTTTATTACTACAACAGCAATTCTGTGAAGAACGTTGGTATGAGACTGATTGGCCCAAAATCACCCCAAGATTTTCCATGGTTTTAATGTTAATATAATTGGAAAAAGGACACATTAACAGAATCTGGCAACTGCATACAGCTTCAACATTCTGTTGCTAATCATACTAGAAACAGTTAAATGCAAGTATAGTATTAGGAAGCTAGTGAGTGATTTAAAGTTTATTATACTGCTTCATCAATGTGCCTAGTACGCTGCTGTATTGATTTCTGGAGGCTCATAAGAGATTGTTAAAGAGCACTGTTGGCTGACATCCTGTAAGGCATTTACAGTTGTTCAGAAGGTTTCTAAAAATTACACTGGAATTTATGCTTTTGTTTCTTTGTTTTTCCCTAAGACTTGAGTAAAAAAGTAAACAGCTTGAGGCTCTAAGACTACTTGTAGCTGCTATTCATCATCAGGATACACTTGCTTCATCTTCTAGTGCTGCTCTCTCCACACTGGGCTGAACACGCACTTCTGTGGTAAGGTATTTCTTTAAAATTAGTAACTATTTTTGGATGTGCATTTATACATATAAATTTGCATGTGCAAGTTGCATGAAAATGTTTCCTTAATTAGTAATGCAATTCTTTTTGACACTGTATAAGAAGACACCCTGCACGAACATCACTTTGAGTACAACATCAAAGTTGGCAATTCTAATCTTGAATAGAAGCTCCCTGTTGTCTGAAGAAATGTTCTATCTGTTCAACATTTCACTACATGTGAATTCAGGCAACCATTTACACAATGGTCAGTACACAACCCTGTCCCAACTCTGGAACCCTCTAGATGTGATGGGACTGCAATTCTCATAATTTTCAAACAGAATGGGTAAAAACTGTCACAGCAGGCACAGTCTCTGGACAACTTTGATGATCTCAAAAAAACAAACAAAACAAAACAAAAAAACTAAGCAGGGTTGAACCTGAATAGTACTTGGTGGGAAACTACCCAGGAAATCCCAGGGTTGTAGATTAGACTGGGAAGTTAAAAAAAAAAATCCTAGAAGTGGGTGACATCTGGTGAATTGGACTCAACTAAATATTTACCTTTATGAGTGAAGGCAGGTGGTTGGAAATTCTAGGAGTCGCTCTCCCTACATTATTGCAGGTTGGGGAAGAGTAATACAGAACTGTTTTGAGAGTGGAAGCTGAAGTTTATTTTTTTACTGCTTTTTCAGATTTCTTGAAAAATCTACACCAAAATCTACACCAAAAATAATGGCAAATGCTAGGGATGGCTGATTTCCCACAATTTTAAAAAACTCCCTTTGCATGCTGACTGCAGTGTTATCATTTGATATAACATACACCATGTATGTTTTAATTGTTATTATTAGCCAGTGATATAGACTAACATTTCCCTCTTTTTCCCTCTTACTCCATGTGCACTGAGATTGAAATTAGAGAATTTATTCTAAATATTGAGCTGTTTTCCCCCTTTTGTATATAACAAGAAATGAGTTGATTGAAGTCTTTATGTTGAATTACAAATACAAGGAAACCCATGTGCTCTTATTCTGTAGAATGATCCAGTGGGTTCAGAGGCTCTTATTCCTAAGTAAGTATGCTTAGGATCTCTAGTCCTAATAGCCTTGTTCTCTTCTTGACACCATCCCTGTGTAGAGATGAGTATCTCTAACAGATAGCTTCTTTAACCAAGGATACTCCCTGCCCAGAATTTCAAAGTCCTCACAAGTGAGTATATGCACTACAGAGCTATGAAGGACAACCAGAGAATGGCATCCTCTCAGTCACCTGCTTGCGTTAATTTCACCTTCTACCCATATACTTATTTCTAGCAGTATGTTCCTTTATCAATGTGCATTCAGCAACAAGAGAGGGCAGACCTAGGCAATTCATCCCATTCCTCTTGAAGTAATGGCAGTTTAGTGACCTTTTTCCTCTATCTTTATAAAAAATGGTTGAAAGGATGAAGAGTAAAGTCACTCTTGAGCTGAGCTCAGCTCATGATGACTAATTTCTCAGCAGCTTGATAGCATATGCCTTCTTCTGGAATATTTTTCCCTACTTTCCAGTCTAGCCAACAGCCCTGGAATTCTGTGGTAGTCTCATACCTACAGGAGGACAGAGCTCTCCTATCCCCTCTTTCCTGCATCGTTTCAATCACATTTATTTATTTGTTTGTTTATTAAATTTATATGCTGCCCATCTCTCCCACACAGTGACTTTGTAAAGGTAAAGACAACTTTAAGGTGACCTCGATTCCAGGTGAATGCTTCCATGCAGTTTTCTTAGCAGTATTAGACATGGTTTGCCACTGCCTTTTTCCTTTTGGTAAATCAATGTTAAATGTAAATTTTATTTTGTATGAACTAAGAAAACAACTCATCAAGAAAAGATAAGTCCATGAGACCCAGTGTGTGCTGCCTTGGGCTATACATAAAAGGTAGCTATATATAACTAGCAAGGCATGGGTTAAGACCAGGAATCTTAACAGTAGTGCATACTGCTCTTCCTCACATCACAGCCAGCTAACTATGTCAAAACAGAGATGAGATTTCATTATCCTGCTTTGTCCTCCAGAAGAATTCTAAACAGCTAACAGAATACCTGTTATAAACAGCTAGATAAAGACAATACCAACCAGTGTAAAAAAAAATATTGTTGTGCCCATATACCACAGTTACCTATAAAGACCTTCTTTGAACCTTCCCCTGACTAGTTAGGAGGGAAAAGATGACCCAACTCTGCCCCCTACACTTCTTAGACCATCTCCTCCTATTGAGTAGACACCATAATATTAACCAGCTGTCAAGTTTTAAAATGAAAAGTTAGAAATGAGATTTAAAGTGATCTTGAGGAGTCATCCTGACCAAACTGAAAACCATAAAAATATAATAATAATGTAACCAGTGATGAGAATACATTATTTCTTCAACTTATCCAAATATATCTTTAGGAACCAAGAGACTTAGTAACAGGGCATAGGAAAGATATTTCAGAGCATTCACACCATGCTGAAAAGATCCTGGTTTTTGGCTTTCTACCTAGTCTTCCTGTAGTAGGGGTTCCAAACCGGAATCTCTTGTTGAACACAGTGTGCAAGATAGCAGGAGATAGTTCACAAGGTGTCCATAGTCATCAAACCATTTAGAACAGTGTTTTTCAAACTTGGCAACTTTAAGATATGTGGACTTTAACTCCCAGAATTCCCCTGCCAGCTGGGGAATGCTGGCTAGAGATGCTGGCTGGGGAATTCTGGGAGTTAAAGTCCACATAAATTTGCCAAGTTTGAAAAGTAGTGATTTACAGCTTTCAAGGTAACAATGATTTGGGTTAAATTTCAAGCAAATGGTGATCAGTGCAATATATTATTTGTGAACGCTTTAAAACATATATCTCAAAGCAGCTAACAAAGTGAACAGAATTTTTTTAAAAAATTAAAAAGATTATAAATAAAAGCTATACATTAACATATAATTTATAACGGGGAGCAGATTCAAGATAGTCATAATATGGACTATTTAAGAAGTATTAGTGACTGAATTTATTGTTCTTCCCCTTCCTCTGATTTTTTTTTCCTCCCATCCCTTTTCCTTTTTGTATTGTGCTGTTTTGCTGAGTATATGTAAGTCACTCTGAGAGCTTTTCTGAATGATAAATAGAAAAATGCTTTTAATAAATGAATAAATATGCATTTGAAAACACACTAACCTAGGTACCATGTGAAGATAAGAGGAAGTTTCACAATTTGGTGCCATACTACAAATATCTTCTCCACCTACCTGCCTAAGGTTAGAAAGTGGGGCAGATATCTGATTAAGATATTATGTAATAGGCAGGTTTGTGTGAACAAAAGACATTCAAATGCCCAGATCTGTCTGCCTATCCACAGCCTTAAAAGGTGAAGCTCATGCTTTTAAATTAACCCCAGTATCACTTCTTTATTACTGTTACACTCACATCAGTCCTTCACAGATAACAATGTTTTACAGCAGTTGTAGTTTCTGGACACGTTTCAAGAGGCCATACCTCTTATAGTACATTACAATTTGTCAATATTCTGCAGCTGTGATATTTATATTTTATATTGTTTCCCAAATTAGACTTCAAAGTAAGTCACAACAGAAAGAGAAATTTATAAAGAAAAAAATGGCCCAGGAAAAGTTTACCTAGAAAAGAAACTCCATTAATTTTGTGTGTGTGCATATATGTGTGCATATTTACACATACATACATACAAAATCACAAGATTTTGGTGTTCTTGCATGAGATCTGAGGTCAGATTATTAAATCTCACAAGGTTTTGACAATCTCTTTGAGATTTCTGCTATTTTTATGCTTTGAGAAAAAATGGGACCCAGCAAATTATGTTAAGAATCTATCAGTATACAAACAGTTTGCCAGTTCTTGCCATAAAGTAACATATAAATTGCCTTTAGTAAAAACAAGGAAAACATTTTATCATTCTTTTTCAAATCCTGAAAAATGACTATCCCTCTTTGGTAGGACTATCACATCTGGATTCCCAAGATCTGGACAACCACTAGCTCCAAAGATAAAAGGTTTCCCTGCAGAGGAGCACCCTAGTAGTTACTCACCAATCTCAGTTGGAAGGGGCACCTGCAACAGGGCCTCTTCTGATGACCTCAAGGATTGGGGAGGCACATATGGGATGATGTGTTCTTTCCTTCAAATCTCTCTTCAATATGGCTTCCTACATTCATATAGGGAGAAAACCAGGATCATTAATGCTGACCACATTGCAGCATGTTTTTAAGAAACAAGCCTTGTATAAAAACCTAGAAATTATATTATTATCTATTCATATACTGTAGGGAAATCATAGTATTATATCTTTATCCTGGAGATTCATTCTTCCTATTACAAAAGCATGATAATCATGGAAGATCAGCAGTATTTGCCCCTAGACCCGATCATTAAAAAAAGTTGAAATCAATGTATACTACAATACAACTGACTTCTAAGGAGCAATAAACTTTGCAACAAGTCAATGAGAATGAATGTATGCAATGGTTAGGAAGTGTAAGTGGACATGGGAGGGAATTTTTGTGGTTAGGGAAATCCAGTGAGAGATTTCTATCTATGCTATATATTAAAAACCTATATGTCAGAATAACAGTGGTAATTCCAGAACACATGAATCTGTAATATCTGACTTGCAAATTGATTTCTCACACTATATTCATAACAGAGCTAATCAAATAAGGGAGATAAGCTTTTACAGAGCCATCAGCTGTTTGTTCACCTGTACTTATTTGCTGGTAGGTTTTATTTACTTAAATGCATTTCTAAGCCAAATTTCAAAACTGCAGTTCCTGAGTTAAAAAAAACAAAAAGTAAAGATTCCTTCAAGTTCAGCTTAATTCCTGGTGACCACATAGACACATCCATGCAATATTCTTGGCAATGCCATCACCTTTGTTTTTGTTTTTACTTCTCATCTAAAACAAATAACTCAAATTTATTAATTTATTTTATACGAATTTCAAAACAATCCAGTTCAAACAGATGGAACTTTGTAGTAAAATTGAAGAAAATAAACAAGTTTTAGGAACTTACATATAATCAGCAATAATATAGACAGCTATATATGTCTCAAAAGGAAAGGATGTACTACTCACTTATTTTCATAACTGGCTAGCATGTGATTTTAACACAGAGAGCAAGTTCATATCAGCAGTCTTCCAAATAACCATTATTTTGAACTGGGCCTGAAACCATATTGGCAATCAGCTATTCAGAAGTGGTGTAACATAAACCATCCATCTAGCTTCAACAAGGAGTTGAGTAATTTCATTCTCAAACAGATAAAATTCCAGAGCCATTTTAAAATATAGTTCCCCCAGACACACACACTGTATGTACAATATTGCAGCTACATTGTGGATAACTAATGCAATCATAACTGAGGCTAGATCTGCCTCTCATTGAAACTGGTATACTAACCAAAGTTGGAAAAGCCCTTTTGGCTATTGCCACCATACAGATTTTTACAGAAAGTAATGAGTCCAAAAACAAATATGAAGTGCATGCTTGGGTGTTTATCTAAACCGCAGCCCCACCAAACACCAATTGGATCTTTCTGTCTAAGATTTCCCTCTAGATTAAACTTCAGCTGATTCATTTCTCACCTCCAAACTACCTCAGGAGTTCCACAGCTGCCTTGGATTTGTAGTTGGAAAACTGAAACACGCAGCTGAAAAAAGATGTGTTTCAGCTTCATCTTGCTGATATTACAGTCAATCCAAAGTTCCAGGTAAATTTTCCCAACAGTTATTTTCCTTTAACTTCTGAGGCTTATATGCCACTCAAATCAAAAGCACACAACTCCAAAATATAATACAATATGCAGTAAGATGCAATAACAAAATATAGCAAAATAATGTTAAATGCCATGAAAGGCAAAATGGAACATTTGAAATCACTGGCCACTGGCTAGAATAATAATCCACTAGACCATCTTTCAACCTGCCATAAAACCATGTTCCCTACACTCAACCCAGCTAGGCCTCCACAAAATGTCATGGCAAAAGATATCAGAAGTCAGTGAGAATCCAAGAGAACTAAGAAAGTTGAATTTCCCAATATCAGTCATCACCAAGGTGGCCTAAGCCATTTCAGTCCACAAACCATGTCTAAAACAGACTGGAACAGATTAAAATAATCAGAATCCAACAAGAATGTCAGAATTGGAGATGCCACTACTGTCTCAAGAGCCTTGCTTTTATTTGGCAGTCATTATCACACGTTGTGGAGTCTACATTTTTCAAGAGAGGCTTAACCATTTTTAAGGCCTACCTCTTCCCTTTTCTATTGACATAACCAAAAAGCCCTTTTTATTTCTTCCAACTTGGAGCCTTTTGTGCTTTAGCATTTATAACCTGCCAAGGGCATGAATTATTTGGAAATTATAGCCACCATCCATTTCCCTATACATGCCCCTTTTAACTCTTATCTCAGCTGAAAGCTCCTGTTGCATTCACAAGGGTTCACTAAATTGCACCCCTCTTTTTCTCACTGGAATGATGTGCAGAGGAACTTTCAGTACCTTATTTTTTAGAAGTTCCTAATGCTCCTCTGCTCCTTTTGAGAATTTCTGTCCATGAGATCCCATCTAATATTTCTCTAAATGTGTTGAAAATAGCTGTCCTGAAGTCTAGTGTGCATAGTGCATATATGACTGTACTCTGATTTCTCTTTTTCTGTGGTATCTTGAACTCCAACATGACATGGTCACTTCCTAAAAAGATTCCCACTCCTTTTGATACTTCAGATAGCTCTCCCCTTTGGTTAGGAGCAGATCTAGTGACAGTTGATTCTCCTGTCTCCTCTTCAAGAGTCTCTTCAAGAAACTGTTCTGTTTCTTCTGGAAAATGAAACAGCACTGAGGAATTTTGGGGATCTTGCAGTCTTGGCTGAGTTGGTTTTCCAACAGATGTCTGGATAGTTTAAACGTTATTAGTATGTTTCTCTTCCTGAAAGTTCTGTAATATGCTCCAAGAGGACATCATTTTTCAACCACTTTAAGCTGAATTTGCTAGGGTGTGCAAGAACAAATCTGAAAAATAAATATTCTGCCTGGCTTGGTCATCTGTTATATACAGTACAATCTTTGTTGTTTCCCTTTCCTTGTATTCTTACCTGAGTAAAAATTAGTGTATCACAAAGAAGCAAGTGCCACCACCATTTGCAGAACATATTTATCTATAATGCATAACTCTTGCAACAAAGTTTATCTGCCATTGCTTTAGGTTGACTGCATGGTAAAGCAGCAACTAATATGCTTTATAAGGCTGATTTGGTGGTGGAAACTGTTGCGCTTGTTCAAGGATTACTGACCTCAAGAAGATCCTTGCACCCTATTACTGTATAGGGTAATATCTACAGGTTATTTATACAGGACAATAAATATACATATTACTCTTTCCAACACAGCAAATAACAATTAACTCAACCAGTTCCAAATTAAACCTATTTTGAATTTTCTACTCTCCAGACATTTGATGTGAGGTGGGGGAAAAGGAGTGACTAATGGCTATAAAAATATCTTTATGAAGAGAGATGAAAATAAACTTCTAAGAAGACTGGAACTATATATAGCACATTCAAAATACTCAGGGATGGGTTATATTACACAGCTCTCGCTCTACTCAAGAAAGCAACATGGCTTATGATATTAAATCATTCTTCTTTGGGAGCTGATAGAAAAGAGGTATAATTTGTAGCTGCTGTCCTGATTGCACTTTTTGTCATTGCTGTTAAAACACATGACAATATGACAATATCGATCTTAAATAATAAAGCATATGGATTTTAACACTTTGAGAAATTCAATTCAGAGTTATATACATTGCTAACCCTCAAGAATAGTGTGCTGAACTTTGTGGATGCAAAGTTAGAGGCTCTGAAGGGATTCCTTTTTTGCAGGAAATAGTGAAGGGAAGCTAAAAAAGACTTCTGCCTTCCACAGATTTAATAAGTTATGACTATGTGCAAATGAGAGAGATACCCTTCTCACCAGCTGATGGAGATCCCAGATACAGATAGTAGCTTACAAAATTAGCTCAGAACTGCTGGAGGAAAAAAAAGTGAAGCCTCACAGTTCTGAACTTGGACGGAGCAGGAGCAACACAGCTGCTCTCTTACCTGCCCTTCAAGAGTGTATACTGCTTAGCTCAAGCTGATGTTCACTTAAGCTAAACTAAGAGGACTAGGAGGATGTGGATCAACTAGATTGAAAAGCTTTTGCAATATTCCAAGAGATTGCTCATGTGTGGCTACACTTCTTAGATTCCCTTGATTACAGCAGAGATGAGAATGAGATGATGATTATCTATACAAAGACTGGTCCAGCAAACAATCAGATAAAGGAACAGGATGAGATATCCAGTCTAAGTGAGAGCATGTGCTTAGAGTTCTCTCCAATAGCCTCTTCCTGTCCTAATATTCCCAGGATTCATACTGAAATTTCAACCAAGCTACAGAGAAGCTCTTCAACTTTTAGTTGCTATTATTACATTTGTGCTCAAGACAAAACAAGTGTTGCAAAATATTACTTCATCATACACCATGTCTCTCCCCCACACTTCTGATTCTGGAGGGTGTTTGCTTTGAGGCTGACAGAGATGTTTTATGAATGGAAAAAAATCAATTTCACAATCAGATCTATTTCAAAATTCTTTGCCAACACAAAGGTCCAGCAGGAACCCAGTAATTACAGAATGCCCCAGGAAGGAAGAGTGAAAAGAATGACTTGTTGGGGACTGGGGAAGAGAATCTTATGTGGTTGTTTTTTCTTCTTTGTTGTATATTTCCTTCTCGAAGTGCCACTAAGAAGCAAGCAGAGAGAAAGCATCCTGGAGGGCAGCGTTCCCAATGTTATGCCAAAACCAACAGACACAACACACAACCAATTCTGCTGTGGAAACCCAGTGATTAAATAAATAAATTCTCTAGCTTCTCAAAGCAAGAAAAGCAGTGTGAAGAAACACTAGAAAAGCCAAGCTATCCAGATTCCAGAATATCCTTAGCAGAGAGATATCCATTTTCTCTTACTTGAAACAATAGTCTGAGCACAGAAATGCACATTACTGGAGAAAGTAACTCTCCCTTATAAGTGGTCCAGCTGCATAATAAAGTTAATTTCTTGTTGAAGCAGAGAGTTCCAGATCATAAAAACATATAAAGATGTAT